TTTTTTATTTTTATTTATTTATGCGGGTAGGAAGCATATCAATAATTTACAAAGTTAATTTAATATATACTTTCATGTATTTAGACAACTTTATTATAAGCAAAATTTTAACACTAGCTATAAATTAGAGAGTATATAATAATAGTAATAATTAAGTTTTATATCAGATTGAATATACTAATCAACTCTTTTCTTAATATTTTATCTAAGATTATGTTTTTATTCGATTCGATAATTTCAAGATTTTTTAATAGTTTCTTTTATATCTTTTTATATTTTTAATTATTTTACTTTTTTTCCGTCTAATCTACTCTCTTTACAACATAATTTATGGTCTTTTCTATATATCTAAACCACATAATTCTATTATCTATCAATTTTTCTATTATAGGGACTATCCTAACACACTTTCTCTAATATTGTCATTCTAATTTTACTTCGTCTAGTCTTATTACACATATTCAAAACAACATCTTCATCTTTGCTACACTTAACTTATTTTCGTGTTGATTCTTAACCATCCAACACTATGTCTCATACAACAATGTGGGTCTTACCGTTTCCGATAAAAATTCTTCTTCAACTTAAGTAGTACTTTTGGATCACACAGTATCCCTAAGACTCTCCCATTTCAACCATCGAGTTTGAATTCAATGGTTTTCACTCACTTCTATTTTTCCATCATTCTATATTACGAACCCAAGATATTTAAATTGTGTTACTCGTGGTATGTTATGGTCTCTCACTTTCACCTCTTAGTTAGAAACACTTCTCCTTTAGTTACATTACATTTCATATACTCTATCTTACTTTTGATTAGGCAAAAATCATATGTTTCTAAGGCTCATCTTCAAGTCTCTAACCACTTCTTTACAATCTCCTTTGACTCTCGAAGTAGGACTATATCATATGCAAAAGTCATACATCTCGGTGCTATCTCTTGAAAGTTATTTTGTGATTACATCCAAAAATTAAAGTGAAAATGTAAGAGCTTAAGGTTGAAACTTGGTCCAATAATATTGTGATGGAGAAATCGACAATTTCTCCACCCTGTGTCCGCACACTAGTTGACACCCCTCATACATATCTTAGATAACTCGAATATAGGCAATATTAATCTCTTTCTTCTATAGAATTTTTCACAAAATCTCTCTAGGCACCTTATGATACGCCATCTCCAAGTCAATAAAAGCAAGTGCAAGTCTTGTTAGTTCATCCGACAATGCTCAATTACATGTCGTGGTAGATAGATCCTTCTATGGTCGATTTCATAAGCATTAAACTAACTAGATTATCACTAAGTTGAGTTTCTTTTATAAATATGCTTCATTGTTTGACTCGTTAGTTTAATATCATATAATTTGCACAATTTTGAATATCCCCCTTATTCTTATAGATTGAAACTAAAATGCTTCTTCTCCATTCAACTGATAATTTCTTTAAGCGTATAATTTCATTAAAGAGTTTGGTGAACCAATCATGTATCTATCTCCAAGAGTTTACCACACTTTAATAGGTATGTTGTTTGACTCAATCGCCTTCCTATTACTCATCATTTTCATTACTTTTATTAGCTCTTGTTTTTTTAATATGACAATATTATTTATAGTTTCGGTCCTCTTCTATGTCAAACTTATTAGAATCTAGAGAGATATCATATCCTTCATCAAATAAATTATAGAAATACTTCTTCCATCTATAAATTATGTCCTTTTTCTAAATTAAGAGTGTATCTTCTTCATCTCTAACACACTTCACTTGATCTAAATTTTTACTATTTCTTTCTCATCCCTTAGCAACTCTTTTATGGATTTTTTTCTCCCTCATTAATTCTTAAAGATTGGTATAATACATAAAAAACTTGATTTTTTGCTTCCCTCACTGCCTTTTTGGTCTCTTTCTTGTACTTTTTCTATGTTTTTGAGTTTTTACACCTAAATCATTCTTTCAACTTTAATCTGAATACTTTCATTCTACCATTCTTTATCCCCTAGGTCAAAAAAAAAAATTTCTCTCAATATCTCTTTAGTTGCTTTTCTAATCTATTATGTCATATTGTTCCACATAACATTTTCATTCATTGTTGTGTTGTGAATCCTACCTCTAAGATCTTGTTTTGGAAACTACTTTGTTTTTCATCATTCAAATGCCACCACTTGATATGTAGAACTTACATGTGAAATCTTCTCTTCGCTTTCTTCTTAACTCTTTCATTCATAGTCAAATAAGCAGGTATGGGTGCAAGTATAAATAACTATTTTTTTAAAAATAAGAAATGACATTAATAATAGAGCACAAAGGGTGCTCAAAACCATACAAGGACATAGTTACTTCCTCAACAAACAAGATAGAGGCGACGGAAACCACTTGAAAAAAGTACAAGCATACGTCAACTTACCCACAGAGTTATACCACCTCCAAGTTGAAAGCTTAATAGAATAAAGAACTTCAACTATATTATAAGGAATTTTGCTAAAAATAAAATCATTTATGCTCTACCATAAGGTCCAGACCGTAAATGCCCAAATACAATTGCCAAGCTCAGAGCTGTCTTTTTCTTCAACTGATTGGAGTAGCTAATGAAAAACTCAGCATAATTTGACTTCTTTTCTAGATCCAAGCCTAACCATCTCTCAATACTACTCCAAACTTTACCAGCAAATTGACACTCCAAGAAGATATGGCGAGACGATTTGGCTGCAACAAGAACATTGTAAATCCACACTGCCAAGGTTTATACATCTCCTATGCAATTGGTCCTTAGTGGCTAACTTGTCCCAAAACAATCTCCATAATAGAACATGAATTTTATAATGAAAGAACGAAGCCCACGTTATCTTCATAACAATCTCAGACCTACCATCCAATTCAATGATATTATCTACCTATAAAATTAACATATACCCATAATAGACAGAATAAAAATTCTCATCTCCATGAGTCCACACATAGGAATCACTCTTATTATCATCTAAGTGCAGTTGCTCAATCAATGAGATGATTTTCTCAACTTTACGCAAGAAGAAAAAAAATATTAGTGCAATCTTGTTCTTCAAACAACTTCCGCATCTCAGCCACAGTAGCATGCTGAGAAATGCTAGCTAAGAAAGACGACGGATAGATGTCCTTCAAAGAACTGCTTCCAAAACAACGAGAATGCCTGAAGGATAATGATCTTCCGTCACCCAACACTCCTCTGATCGAATCTGAAAATAGATCCATAGATAACCGCTTGTCATAACCGATCACCATTAAGTCACGCCACCATATCGAATTTGACCAATGTTCTTGTATTTCTGCACATACCTGAACTCTAAAATACCTTTTCATAATGCTTCTTCTTCCTTGATCAACCTCCATTTCCACTTCAATAAAATAGCTTTATTGAAACACACAATGTTCTTGATACCCAAACCGCCTAGCTCTTTCGGTAAACAAACCCGCTTCCAACTCATCCAATGGATATTCCTTTTCTACGACATACTACCCCATAGGAAGTTAGCTTGAATTTTAGTGATAGATTTCACAATCTATACCGGAGCCTTATAAAACGAGAGATTGAAGATAGGAATTGAGTTCAACACCAAATTAATCAATGTAACCCTACCGCGAATACTCAAGTTTTTATTCTTCCACACTGCTAGTTTATTCCTAAATAACTCTACCACATGATTCCACAACTGAATCTTACGAGGATTATCACCAACACGAATACTAAGGAATTTAAAAGGGAGAGAAATCACCTTACAATTCAAAAACTGAGTAGTTGTATCAATAAAACCTTCCTTCAGATTAACTCCAAATAAGTTGCTCTTGAAGAAATTGACTTTTAAGCCAGAGATCAGCTCAAAACCTCTTAGCACAACCTTTACACACCATAAATTATCCCAGTTGCCTTCTCCAATCAGAACTGTATCGTCTGCAAACTGGATGATGCTATGGGAAACCTCAACAGAATTCTGAAAACCTTTGAATAGAGACATAACTTCTGCTTTCTTCATAAGCACATTCAACCCTTCCATCACTAAGATGAATAAAAAAGGAGACAAATAGTCTCCTTGTCTAAGCCCCTTGCTTACCTTGAAGTCATTAGTTGCACTATCATTCATGAGAACCATCATAGTCCCGTTAAAGACTAAAGCCTCCATCCACCTCTTCTAATTCGAACCAAAATTCATTTTATCCATAAGGAATCTCAGACAATCCCATTTAACACAATCATATGCCCTTTCAAAATCAGCTTTCAACATAAAACACTCTCTCCTAGAACGCTTTGCCAAATCCAAAATTTCATTGATGACCATAACACCGTCAAGCATATTCCTACCAGCCACAAGCGTTATTTGTTCCATAGAAACCAGATTACCAATTACTCTCTTCAACCTGTTTGCTAACAGCTTTGACAAAAAAAATTGAAAAGCACTTACTAGACATATTGGTCTATAGTTCACCAAATACTGAGAGTCTACAACCTTAGGAACTAAGCTCAAGAACGAAGCCATAGCAGCCTTAGACAACATAGGCTTAGAATGAAACTCATCCACGAATTTTACCACATCATCCTTAATGATTTCCCAACATTTCTGAAATAAAAGGAAAGAGAAGCCATATGGGTCAGGGCTCATACTTCACAATTCTACATTGCTTCCTTAATTTCAGTTTCAGAGAAAGGAACCTCTAAAGAGATGTTATCTCTAGAACAAAGGCTCTTCAAACTCACCCCTTCCAAAATTGGCCTATTGAACACTTTCTTTACAAAATTATCATGGAAATGCTTGCTAACCTCATTCTTCACCGCCACCACTTCCTGTACTCTACCTTGATAAGAATTAACAAAGGAGATGTATTTTCTCCTATATCTAGCTTTCAAGACTATAGGAAAATATCTTGTATTTCTATCACCTTCTTTCAGCCATAAGGCTCTCGATTTCTGTCTTAACATTCTTTCTTTCAACCTCATACTGACCCACATCTCTTTAGTAACCATATCCATATTCTCACTAAAAGAATCCTGATTCAACAGCCTTGTCTATCTTTAAGTTCACCCATCCAAACACTTCTGCATTCCAACTCCTCAACTTTCTCTTAAGCATCCTAAGCTTTTCTTTTAAAACAAAATCTCCTCTTCCTGACACCACAAAACCATTCCATTTAACTTTAACGAACAAATAGAAGTCCTTATGAGAAAACCAATTGTTATTAAAAATAAATGGCTTAGGACTCCAATCAACCGTGCAAGATTTCAACCAAATAGGAGAATGATCAAATATATCTCTCACTCCCACAACCTGACCAACAATCTTCCAACTTTCAGCAAGTGACTCCGACAGCAGAAACCTATCAATTCTGCTCATAGCATAACCAGAGCTATTAATTCAATTGTATTTACCTTTCACATTTGGGACATGATAAGAAGAGTTCTATGATATTTTCTTAGATCTAGGATTTCACTAATAACACACATAAAAGAAGCTAAAGGAAGAAAAATATAACTTGTGAATTAATTTCTTCTTCTTATCTCAACAAACACAAGTCTTTAAATACAAAGATAATCCTAATTAAAATGGGTTAATGGATCAGCCCATCCATAAAATAGTACTAACAACATAAAATAAAATAAAATAAACATTATTTAGAAATAAAGTCTTGCATCCATTTAGGTTGGGCTTTAATACGAATGGGTCTCTTATCACTACTATCATGCCCATTAGCAACCTTGTCCTCAAGGTTAGATGTAGAGGAAACAACTTGTGGAATAGAAAGATTGGGCTGGTTTAATTCTGAAAGTTCAGGCCCAATGAAGGGGGAATTGGCCTTACAACCCGTAGGCCCAATGGAGACACGTGGAGCAGCAGGATTAAAGGAGTTTGGTTGCCAAAGTTCATTAGCTGTAGTCCACTGGGAAACACGTGAAGGAGCAGAAGCTGGCAAAGTGCTTCCATTCGGCTGGCATGCTGCATGCGGGACATGTGGCAGCATCGTGGAAGGGTTAGATGGGGAGATGTGGGGATACGCGAAAGAGCCACGTGAAATGGCAGAAGTGTGCGTCTCGAGGTCAGTTTCACTAATGGCTAAGTGCTTTGGAAAGAGGCTTTGAGTTGTAGATTCATTACTCACAATTGTGTTGGGAAACTCATAATCCTTTCTCTTCATTTTCTCACACCCTTCAAAGTTTTTGTCCACCACTCTTTCCTTATATTTCCTTTCTTCTTTCTCCGACATTTCACCCTTTTCATCCGCCCTTCTTTCGTTCTATGTCTCAAAGCACCTAGAAACAGCCAACTGTGTTTTCCTTTCAAAACTGGGAACACCTTCAACATTTAACCCCTGTGAAACTTTGTCAAATATGATCTCCTGATCCTGAACTTCGTTTTGGACATGCAAGGGCGTGGCGTGTTGTTGTTCTGTGTCCTGGTTTTGGTTAATGTCTTGCTTAAGTTCATTCGGAAGCGGAACAAAATGGGAAGCTGGATCTGAACCATGGGACAAGCGAAGCTGTGGGATGTGGAAAACCGGGTGTATTTTGGAGGACTCCGGAAGATCAAGTAGATATGCCACCTGTCTGATCCATCGTAGCACCTTGAAAGGTCCAAAACATCGTTTGACAGCTTGTGAGAGGGACGACGTTCTACTGATACTTGACGATATGGTTGGAGTTTCAAAAGCACGAGGTCGCCTTCTGAAAAGGTGATATCTTGTCTATTTTTGTTTGCTTCTTTTTGCATGTTTTTCCTGCTTTTGTCTAAGTTTTGCTTCAGAACTCTGAGTATTTCATCTCTTTTTTGTAGTGATGCATCTACTGTGGTGAGAGTGGACGATCTTGGATTGTATTGCAGTAAGGAAGGAGGTGGATGACCATATAGAGCTTCAAAGGGCATCATCATGATCGCACTATGGTAAGCTGAGTTATGCCAAAACTCTGCTAAGTGTAAATATTTGAACCATTGTTTAGGATGGTTACTTTTAAAACACCTTAGATAGGTTTTGAGACATGTGTTAACCACTTCTGTTTGACCGTCTGTTTCAGGGTGATAGGCGGTGCTATACTTTAAGGTAGTTCCTTGGGCGCAGAAGAGTTCTTTCCAAAAGGTGCTAAGGAAAAGTGGGTCACGGTCGGAGATAATCGTTCTTGGGATGCCATGAAGTCGGCAGATCTCGACAGAAAATCTTAGAGCGAGATCTTTTGCTGAGAATTTGGTGGGAAGACCGATAAAGTGATGGAACTTCGTCATCCTGTCGCAGACGACCCAGATTACCGTGTGACCAAAAGATACTGGGAGGTGTATGATAAAGTCCATGCTTAAGTCTTCCCATACTTGATTTAGTGTGGGAAGTGGTTGTAGTAGGCCCTTCTTCTTCTGAGTCATGTATTTATTTTTCTGGCATGTTGAGCAGTTCTTAACAAATAACTTGGTATCCTTGTAGATCCTTGGCCAAAGAAACGAAGCTGACAAACGAGCGAGTGTTGGTTTGAGTCCTGAGTGACCTGCTGCAGGAGTAGAGTGGAATTTGTGTAGAATCTAGTGTCGCAATCCCGTCTTTGGAGGTATATACATCTTATCTTTGTAGAATACTAGACCCTCTTTGATTTGAAACAGTGGACTTGCATTCTGATCAGCTACTATCTTGCTCATAATTTCCTGGCATTCTGGTTTTTCTTTGTAGAACTGCTGAAGTTGAGATATGAGTAATGGAATTGGAGATGAGATTGAGAAGAACACTGCCTCTGACTCCGCCTCAATGTGACTCAAAGCACCGGCGAACTTATTAGACTTCCCAGGTTTGTAGAATATGTCAAATTGAAACCCTTGCAATTTAGCTGCCCACTTTTGTTGTTCAGGGGTTTGGATTGTTTGAACTAACAGATTTATTAAACTCTTTTGATCTGTATATATGTGAAAATGTCTACCAATTAGATATTGACGCCATTTTTTTACAGATTCTGTAATGGTGTACATCTCACGAACATAGACAGGTGAAGCTTGAAGTCTGTTACACAACTTTTTGCTGAAAAAGGCTAATGGATGACCTTGCTGTGAAAGAACCGCGCCAATGGCTACTGAAGATGTGTCTGTTTCGAGGACAAAGGTTTTGGAGGAGTCGGGAAGACAAAGCACTGGAATTTTTGTCATTTTTGTTTTTAAACATGTAAAAGCTGTATCAGCAGATGTACTCTAAACTAACATAGTGGATTTTAAAAGATCGGTGAGAGGATCGGCGAGAGAGGCGTAATGACGGAAAAAGTGTCGATAAAATCCGGTGAGGCCTAAAAAAACCCTGAGAGACGTGAGAGAACGAGGCTTCGGCCAATCTAGAATCTCCTAAATTTTTTATGGATCTGGGGTTACACCTTTACTTGTGATAATATGACCTAAATAATCAACACTTGAAACAGCAAAAACACACTTGGAAAGTTTGGCATAAAATTGGTTAGATAAAAGTAAGTCTAAAACCAATTGTGAATGGTGTGCATGTTCAGTCAGGCTAGAACTGTAAATCAAGATATCATTTATCGCAGCCTGAAATGAGCTAGGAACATTAGTTAAACCAAATGGCATAACTAAGAATTCATAATGACCATCAAATGTGCGAAAAGCTGTTTTATGTGTGTCCTTTGGTGTTACCCGAATCTGGTGATAACCAGATCGCAAGTCGATCTTAGAGAAAATAGCAGCAGACCCAAACTCATCAAAAAGTTCATCAATGGTAGGAATAGGAAATCGATCTCGAACTGTTACGGCGTTTAAGGCGTGATAGTCAACACAAAATCGCCACGACCCATCTTTTTTTCTAACCAACAAAATGAGGGAAGAAAAAGGGTTGTTATTGGGTTTGATAATACCCTCTTGAAGCATATCTTGAATGATAGTTGTCATTGCATCTTTTTGTGAATGTAGGTAGCAGTAAGGTTTTACGTTTATGGGGTTTGTGTTAGGGAGAATGGGAATATGGTGATCATGAGGGCGTGATGATGGTAAGCCGTGAGGTTGGTTAAAAACAGTGGCATGTGAGGTGAGTATTGAAGTTATTTGGCTTGGGAGGTTTTGTGGAAGGATGTCAAGAAGATTGGGTTATTTATGGGGGTTGAGGACTTGTTGTTAGGGAAAGGTTAGTAAAGTAGGAGGTGTAATGAGCAATGGAGTCTGTGTGTAAAAGCTGGCAAAATTGGTTGAGAGAGGACTGTTCGGCCACAGATTTTTGATATCCCTTGATTGTTATGTCATTGTTTTGGTATGTGAAGGAGAGCTTGGGAATTGAAAAATATGCCATAATTGGGCCCAGTGTACACAACCATTCCATACCGAGTACCACATCTGCCCCTTCAATCGGTAACAAGTGAAACTGAATGTTGAATAAGTTATTTTGTAAGATTATTGGAACTTTTGGGCAAAGTCCACTGCATGAAAATTTAGATCCGTTTCCCACCATGACAGAAAAGTTGGGAATGGGTGTGGTAGGGAGTTTGAGGTGTTGGGCAATTCGGGGTTGTAGGATGTTATGAGTACTTCCTGTATCAATTAGGACAATCACTGTCATACCATTCAGTAAACCGGTGAATTTAAGGGTTTTGGGGGAAAAGTGTCCAATTGCTGCTTGAGGTGATAGTTGAAAGTAAGTATCGTCTAATTATGAAGTTTCGGGCACTGTCCCCGCTTGGACTTCTGAATTTTCTGAAAATGGAATTGGGGTTGTGTCGTCATCATCTTTTTCTGATAGAACAAAAATTTTCCCGTGCTGCATCGATGACCCGGTATAAATTTCTCATCGCAATTAAAGCACAATCCTTGAGCGTGACGCTCCTGCATTTGAGCACTAGATAATTTGCGAATAGGGAATTTGGGAGGTTGAGAGGTAGTTTGGGGTTTTGGGGCTAAAGTGCTTAGGGCTGTTGGCTGGGGTTGTGTGGGGGGCTTGTGATTGGGGTTGTGAAAGGTTTTCTGAAATTTGGGTTTGGAATCCCTTATTTTGGATTCAATCAGCTTTGCAAGTCCAATTGCTTGCGAAATTGAAGTGGGTTTGTGAATAGCAATTTCATTTTGTATATCTGCTTCCAAACCAGAAATAAAACAATTGAGAATAGAATCTGGTTGTAAACCCACCACTTGAGTACCAAGTTTCTCAAAAGCTGCTTGATATTCAACAACTGAACCTACTTGTTTCAACTTAAACAACTCAGCTTGGTGATTAGTGTAGGTTGACGGTCCAAATCGAAGCTCCAATGCTCTTGTAAACGAGGGACAGTCGATTAAAAGATTACTTTGGTACATCCATTTATACCAACAAAGTGCTTCACCCTTCATATAAAATGACATCATTGATAATCTATTTTCAGGTGGTAGTTGGTAAAAATCAA